GCGTACGGTGTGTGTGTGGGGTGTGGGTAATAAAATAGAGATCGCTGAATTTTATTATGTTTCATACTGTTTGCAATCTTCTGGGGCAGTGTATAATCAAGATTACCCAGCATGCAATAACTTAGGTGCAGCTAGTTGGTTTCAACTGCTAAGCCGTTCTTTTTTAATCGGGTGTTTGCTCTAATTCCTACATATATCCATCAGTCCCCTACTTTTGTTCAACGATGTACTCTTCATTCTCAAGAACATTAACAATGTCGCATCTCAACCCCCACCCCCACATATCTCCTGTAGGCTCTAGCCTTAGCCAATATTTTCCAAGTCGTGGTTGGCGCCTCTTCTCCGTTACCAACGGCATCCTGCTAAAAAGTAGAAGTAACAGTGTAACGATTTGCCCTTTTCTGTTAAACAAATTCATCTTGTGATTGTCAAAATGGCGCTTGTCCTCCTCTCCTACAGCTACTTTGACCTTCGTCTCATATTCAGATACCTGCTTTGAACAATAAGAAAATTTATAAGGAGTCATCATTATTTACATTATTCACTGCTTTACTCTGCAACTGTACCGACTTAGTACCACCAACCACATGGTAGTGCCTATAAATATATTTCCCCGCTCTTCCATAAGGCAAGAACCCCTTATTAACAGAACAACTCACTGGTTAGAACGCGTTTCATGATTTCATTTATAATCATGGCCTATATGAAGGTGGCTTCCCTCTCTCTTTTCGAGAAATATTTTTATGGTAACTGTTCTGATGATCTTTTTTCATCTGTGCCTAGACAGCGTGAATTTAAACGTGCTACTAGATTGACAGTTAGGTCTCACAGTTTTACTGTTGAACAGGCCAAATCTAACCATCAGTATTATTCTGATAATTTCTTTTCACGCAAAAGAAATCGGTACCTACTTTCGATTTCTTGCTTCCCTATCAGTTTAAAATATATTTAAATGTAACGCCAATCGCCATCTTCCAAGCCCTGTTCCTTTTGTCCTTTCCTCTCTTCTCCTCATTAAGGTCTTCTCATTTTCTTTCACGCCCGCTATATATATATATACAGGGCACGATGTATACGCAAGAATGAAATTAACAAATATACAGGGTGTCCATAAAATAATGTCAAAACATCTCCCCAATATAAGTAATGTAACATTCAAATATACAGTGTGTCTATAAAGTACGTGTGCATTTAAAAAAAATATAACTTTAATTGTATTTGCGATAGAAATAATCTATAAAAATGTTATAAATCTTAATGTACCTAGTTTTAAGTATAGCTAAAATAACTAATGTGATTTCAGGCATTACTGTAAATCAGTTGGTAAATGTTTTTCGTGAACTGCAAAATCGTATTACCCTTTGTATTGATAATGATGAAGGATATGTGGAAACTTAAATAAAATTTCAATAAAACTTTTAAAAATATAGATTTACTTCTTTCTAATCCTTTTTAGAGATTATTTCTATCGCAAATACAAATAAAGTTATAAATTTTTTAAAGTGCACAAAATTGCACACGAACTTTATGGACACGTTGTAATTACAAAAATTACACAAAAATATCTTAAAATACTAAAGCGTAAATTTATTCAATAAAATCTTCATTGACTTATATATATATATATATTTGAAACATGGTTAGAACTGTGTAGCGGAAAAAACATATTTTAAATCAATTAATTTATAATATTAATGCTCTGTAAATTTACATTGAACACTATTTTGTAAAAATAAAAATATCTATAAGAACACCGGATTATATATCTTACTGTTCTTTTTTTATATATATATATATATATATATATATATATATATATATATATATATATAGAGAGAGAGAGAGAGAGAGAGAGAGAGGGAGAAAGAGAGAGAGGCAGAGAAGTTAAAGAACAAATCGGAAACATTTATCAATCTAACATATTTCGCTTTAAAGTTTCATCAGAGAATGAGATATGGAAAAAAAGGGATTTTATTTTTTACTTTTATTTCTGTGTTATTCGATTTTAATTGGTTAATCATGTTTCATGTGCATTCGATTTGGTAAAATTAGTAAAATTTATGGCGTTCCAAATTCAGTCAGTGGATTACGCGTCCCCCCGAAGGTTCAAGAAATTAGAATATTTCAAGCCTAACTAAAAAAAAAAAACATCATAAATATAGTTTGTTATGGAAGTGTTTAATAATTCTGTTTTATCTCTGTGTGTGTGTGTGTCAGTTGTACTACTAGTAGTAAAGTATTAGTAATAGACAATATGCAGGTTTTTGGTCTGTTGATTTGAGAACATTTTTACGTTCATACCATTTGTTATAGACAAGCGTAAGTTAGATTCTTTCAGAATGGATTCAGAAAGGGTGGTGGTGTAATATGTTTTTGATGTGTGTTTATAGTGGGTAATACTGCTATTAGTAGTCCCTCTATTTATCTCCATTCCAATAACATCAGAAAGTCTCCTTCTTGATAAATACACTATGGTGAGATTCGAACCCGGGTCTCATGGTCAGAATGCGAACGTTCTAACCATTGGGTCACGTGACCATATACCAAAAACGTTACCAAAAACAGATTTAATTATTGCCAGATATAGAAAAGATTTGAACCCTGTTTTTACATCCATACCATTTGTTTTAGATAAACATACGTTAGATTCTTTAACAATGGATTCAACAAAGTGATGGAATATAGTATTTTTGACGTGTGTTTATAGTTAGCAATATTGATATTAGTAATTCCTCAAAGTACTTTTGGCATAAATAATTTTTCTCGTCAGAATCTATCTTGCACATTTACGAAGCTACCATTTGTCCCTGCATTGAATACTGCTGCCATATGTAATCGGATGTCCCTGCTTTGCATCTCGAGGTTTTTGACAAAATCCGAACAAGGATCTGTAATGTAATGAATCCTGACCTGGCATTTCGACTTCAGTCACTTTCTCACAGACGTGACGTGGTTTCCCTCAGTCTTTTCTATAAATACTTTCATGGCAACTACTCTGATGAGCTTTTTCTCTAGTGCACCGACTACATGACTTTAAGCGTGGTACTAGATTGGCATATACTCTCAAAATAGTTAAATGCAATCGTCATTTCAATAATAGCGGTGTCAATGGAGAAAACGTCCTTTTGACACTCCGTGCACAAAGGTAAGTTTGCCCTACGTTTTTAAAAGCTTTAGTCTTTTTGTCAATTTTTAAAGTGTGGGAAGTATTTCTGTCGCACACTGTATTTGAGCTTAAAATAAAAAAAAAACTTTTACATGCTGAAATGATGTTTTCTAGCAAAACCTAGACAAAAATGACTTAAAGTGGAGCGGCTACATCGAATCAATAGGTGTATCCACTGCAAGGAAAGTTGGTCCATTGTGTCGTGCTAGAAAATTTTTCTCGTTACAAATCTACCATTCGTCTATGCATTGAGTACTTTTGCCACATCTGGTCTGGTGCTCCTGCTACATATCGCGAGGTTCTTGACAAAATACAAAGAAGAATCTGCAATGTAAGCGATCCTGACCTGACATCTCGACTTCAGTCATTCTTTTCACCGACGGTACGTGGCTTCCCACTGTCTTTTCTACAAATATTTTGATGAAAACTTCTCTGACGAATTTTCCATGATGTCGTGACTGCATGAAGTTAAGTGTGCTACTAGATTGGCTTCCACCTTTTTCCTACTGAAATTCAGAGTCCGCCATTTTTGTTGTGGGAGAACATGTCTTCCGGCTTAAATATTCGACCATCATACTCCCAAAACACAAATAAATTAAATTTTTTAAGGATGGATCAATAATGATAGGTGACGTAATATAATGCTTTAGACGTGTGTTTATAGTTGGTAATCTAGTTATCTATAATGAATATATATATATATATATATATATATATATATATATATATATATATAATAACTTAAATAAAACAGTCCACTTTAAGGTTCCATGGAAACTTAAAGTTTTCTATTTAAATTGTTTGCTCTGGATTTACATTGAGCTATCTGAATTTTATCCTCCTTGGGTTTACCCATACGGATTACCTAGTTTTTGATAAACTATATATATATATATATATATATATCTATATATATATATATATATATATATATATATATATATATATATATCACACATACACAGACACACACACATATATATATATATATATATATATATATATATATATATATATATATATATATATATATATATATATTATTTGATTTATTTGTTTTGTTTCACGGCATATCAACCTCAATTGGTTATTTAATGCCGATAAATCTTTTATTGCTGATAATATTTTGCTCTGTCAAAAATCTATTTCTGGTAATATTTTCCTTCAAAACCGTGTCGCTGGTAATAACAATTTCTTTTTTCCCAAAACGTATTGCTGCTAATATTTTTCACAAAGTATTTCTGTTATTAAAACCTATTTTTACACTTTCATAATGTTTTGACCCCAGTTTTGGAGTTAACTATTTAACCATAGCTGGGACCCTAACTGGTGCTACTACCGCGGGCCATGGTGGACCTGGGAACACCATTAATGAAAAGGTGGTTCTACATTCCTCAAAACCTCCTGATCAGAAGCTTTGCAGTTAGACGTAGTTTATCGTCTTAGCCAGGATGCGGATGTATCTTATCGTCATACCCAAGACGTCTCTCTCTCTCTCTCTATATATATATATATATCTATACACATATATATATATATATGTTTGATCTCTCTCTCTCTCTATATATATATATATACACACACACACACACATATATATATATATATATATATATATATATATATATATAGAGAGAGAGAGAGAGAGAGATCAAACGATATGTATGTAAAAATGTTCCCAAATTCACATTTCTCAACTGCTCATTTTCTGATGAAGTTTCAATAAAATTGAAACATGTTAGATTGATAAACGTTTCTTATTTGTTCTTTATCTTATTCTGTCGGATTCTGTTTCATATTTGATCTGTACTTAATTCCAGCTCATATATTGACAATGTTATATTATGCTGGACTCTCTCACTCTCTCTCTCTCTCTCTCTCTCTCTCTCTCTCTCTCTCTCTCTCTCTCTCTCTCTCTCTCTCATGTTCTTTAATGCTTAAGATTTCAACGCCATGTTCCTCTCGATTCCCTACTTGTTAATGTCACGTCTATGAGTTTAAGGCCATCCTGAGAGCCTCATAAAAAGTTCACATAGGACAAGGAACTGTACCCTTTGTGAATGCTGCAAGAATGTTTGAGCAGTGTTAGGAAAAGCTAACAGAAGTAATCCATAAAGGCACAACTTTTAAAATAAAACAATTTAAGTGATTATAAAATCCAGGCAGTAGGGAATGTTTCGACTCGTCAATGGAAGGCGAGAATCAGAAATTGAAAAAAAAAGCAAAAGAAACCCCTCCAAATTAAACAATGCTATGCAAATCTGTTGCTTGATGATAAGAAGCAGGACATTTGGGAACAATTGCCCTTTTATGCAAGTTGCATTGAAGACGATTGACAAGATAACTGCGAAAGAATATTTTATTTATTTTTCTTGCATTCACTCATGTGTATTTATTTTCTGGATACACAGTGTTTAAAAACTAGCCTAATGATCTATATGTTCGAACACTTTTGACTATTCTACTAGCCAATGTCAAGAATGTTTACACACTTTATATCTAGGGAGAAATACTTGCACGAATATCAGAAATATTTAATAAAAAATCTTAACCACCGTGTCTTGTCAGTCGTTTTAATGGATATATATATATATATATATATATATATATATATATATATATATTAATGCATGTTTCATTAAATAATATAGACAAGTTTTGTCTATTTATTTTAAGTAAGTTCGTTTCATTTTGTGTGATAAGCTTAATAACGTTATCATTGAAAGACGAAAGGAAATCACCATATTGATACATGTTTAAATCCAATCTAAGCTTTCGGCTTACATAAGCCATTATCAAAGATGAAAATTACATTTCAATTATTGTGTGATATATACACGATATATATATATATATATATATATATATATATATACAAAATCATTCTGATACAACACATTCTCCATGTGTTTCTTACATACTGGCGCCACGTATTGCTTACAATAATCTACCTTCGTCCTATTTCGTTTGTATGCCAATGACATACTACTCAAGAGCAGAAAGTCTCCCGCCTGTTCTAGGAAACTAGAGCCTGTTTAAGCTTATGGCTCGGCTCCAGGAAGGTTTATAGTCTTCGACATAGTTGTAACAGCTAAGTACTGAGGTTACATCATATAAAAGGCTGAATTAATTAGTAGCTAACAGTATAGTGTAATGTATCAGCATACAAATCAACGTCCCTCTCAGTCAATTAGGTGACCGTCCAGGAAGACGCCCACGTATTTTTCAGGATATTTTTTCACAAAAAAAGTGCGTCTTGTAAGAGGGAAAATACGGAATGTTTTTTTTTTCACGTTAAAGTATTGCGGTTATATTTTAATACGTTTCTTCTTTTTAATATCAATCAATTTTGTTCATTCACTGTGTTCAGTATTTTGATGAGTTCTAAAAATGTTTCCATTCTTGTTTTTATTTAATTTGAAATCAGATATTCTCTATTAAATTTTAAATTAGGGCCCTGACTAACCCGAAATATGAGCCTGTTTTTTCTCAATTCACTTGTTGGTGATCTTTACAGAGTAGGAACGAGCTTTATCTTTTTTTCAAAAACGCATATCAGATCGTTAATGTTTAGAAATCAGTTTTTCATTTCTTCGAATAGAACTATTCTGCAATAATCTCCTATATTCCAAGGCCTTAATTCGATTTTCTCTTCGCGAAACTGTGCACCAGGAATATAATTTAAGATTAAGGATGAAGAAGAGAAAAAAAAAAACTCCATACGAATAAACAGCGAGGTTGTTGTAAATATATCGCATTTCTGAAATGCGATATATTTGACAGGGTTCATTCACTATCAGAAGAAAAACAAAAATGAACACTGATATACTGATACATTTTCATTGGTCCGTTAACTGACGAATCAACAATTAACAAAAACGTGGTTTAAAAAAATAGCTACCACCAAAATTATCTAGTCGGAGCATCACGTGATCTACAAAAGGCTGGCGTTCTGAAATTTCGCTCACACGCTTTCATTCTCTCCGTCACGTACAAACTGTCGGCAAAATTTTCCTACCAGGGAACAAGAAAAGTAACCAATACATACCACATGCGTTGTGCTATGTAATACTAAATTAAAACCTTTCTCGTGGGAAAAAAGGCGGGTGACTTAACTTTCAGTAAGAAACAGAGACCGTGCGGCAGTGCGTTTAGTAGCCTGAAGACAGCAGTGAAGACTATCGCAGTAGCGCAATCAGTACATCTAAAATTGTAATCACCTAAGCATCATATCAAGACAGATATGATATTATTATAATGTATAATAAGTAGCGACAGTTCAAAAGGCACCCTTTTAATATTACAGGCTTTCTTTTATTTTATTCTTAATTACGGTAGAGAAATCTTTTAATCTGAGTCATATTAGACCAGATAGACCAGAAATGCAGAATTGCTATCATGCTTGGTTTTGAGTTCGTTTTTTTTTCAGTATTGATAGTATTCAAAATCGTTTTTTTCCAGTATTGATAGTGTTCAAAATCGTGTTTTCAGTATTGATAGGGTTCAAATTCGTTTTTTTCCGTATTGATAGTGTTCAAAATTGTTTTCTTTTCAGTATTGATAATGTTTAAAATAGTTTTTTTCAGTATTGATAGTGTTCAAAATCGTTTTTTTTTTCAGTATTGATAGCGTTCAAAATTGTTTACGCAGTCTTGTAGTGGAAGACGTATTTTCCACTATACAACCTCTTTCCACACAGACAAAACGTCGCAAACTTATCGCAAATCTATCATGGAAAATTTCCAGATTATCTCTATTCTTACTGCTGCTTCGACGGAGTCGAATCACCTATATTTCTTCCCAGTTCCAAATCTAAGGATGAAGTTCTACTCATCTAGCTTTTTTTTTCACAAGAAAATTCCATTTTGGGGAATAGACCCCTGCTTAGAATCCTTTTCCAGCTTCTTGATTTCCAGTCAAGTTTGATTTTCAAAAATTTAAATGCAATATCAAACGTTATCCCAAAGTCTTCTTAATTCCTGTCCTTTTAGCGTTGTTATTTTTTAATAATCTTTTTTGTTATATACTTACACACCTATCAACCTCCTGTATGGTATTGTTGCATTGTTTGGCGTGAAACGACGAAAAAAAGGGTCACTCATTTTCTATGAGATCCTTTTTCATTCATAATACAGCCTGTATCCTGTATAACCATTTTAAAATTAAGTCTGTAAGATGAGTTTATGTAGAGCCGTTCATTGACTGAATTCTTGTATTAAAAACAGGAACCATTTCTCTCTGGAGTATTATCATATAACTGGAACCGAGATTCGTTTCTTAGAAGAACTCTACAGAACCATAATCCTTCATGAACTGCATTATATCTTTATATTCTGAAGGTGTGCTATATGTATGGGATAAAGTGTTCAATATCAGGGATAGAGAGTTTTTAAATATAAAAGTGAACATTGAAGTCAACACTTAGAGGCGACAGGCAGCCTCTAAGTGTTGACTTCAATTACTTTATATATATATATATATATATATATATATATATATATATATATATATATATATATATATATATGTATGTATGTATGTGTGTGGACTCACCAGTAAATACATATACTACGTCTACGTGAAGACCCGAGAGAGCAAGACCGAAGAGTCGAGTCGAGTCCAAAGTGACAGAGTAAAAGGTTCTAGGTAACCAAAAAAGTGAGGGTGAGGTAACTGCGTTGTAGGAGTCACAGTAAGAAGTCATACAGCGATAAAGACAATATATATATATATATATATATATATATATATATATATATATATATATATATATATATATATATATATATATATTGATACTAACACGTCTTCCTGGAACTACTAACCTGCTTTACCAGTTTGTATTATTACGTTAATACATTATTTTTTTATATTCATCCTTGGCGTTTGTTATTTATTGGTACCGGATTTCAAACCTGAATCCAACATATATATATATATATATATATATATATATATATATATATATATATATATATATATATATATTATCTCAGATATTAATGATTTTATAGAAGGAGAACATTACATTTGCTAACCTGGTTATTGCTCTTCCAAAAAGTTTTGTTTCTGGGTTCTTTCCTTGTCTTTGGCTCCTGGCACCGTTCATGATAAAACCTTGGTTCTTAGAATTTGGAGTTATAAACTGATTACAGATTGAGTGTCTTTAAACATATTGAACTACCAAAATAGTGTCTATAGAGATTAAAGATAGACAACAAAATGACTATATAAACTGGAGATTGGCAAGTGACGAGCAGTTTAAAGTGGAGAATGCACATCGTGTTGTACATGCATATTAGCTATAGATTTTCTATTAATTTTGAGTGTAAAACATTTGATGTACTGAGTGTAGATATGCAATCAAATCATTGTACAAACTGAAGAATTAATATGGCTACACAGGCAGGAGATAGTCGTCTTGCCATAAATGTTACAGATTTCCATAGAGGAGAGATTAACCATAGAAAAAGCCTATTGTTTACATTCAGGTTTACATTATATAAATAGACAATATATTGTCCATGATGATTGAACATAAGCAATAATTTGGCTATAGTGTTCGAAGATAAGTAATAGATGGATTATACCATTTATAGATAGATAATTGTTTGGCAATGATTATTACATATTAGCAAATGAATAGCTATGTAAAGGGTCTTCTAATAACTTGAACTGATTCTAAATGAGAATTAAGTTTAATCATCTAATGATTTTTTTTCTTTTTCTTTCAGATTTAACAATTTAAGTCTTTGGCAATTTCAACCATGGAAAGATTAATAATCAAATTAAGCTACTAAAAGTCAAAACCGGAATGTTTAAATAATGGAAAATTAATGAGAGTACAAATAAATAACGTTACGATGAAATTTCAACTGGCCACTGGTAGCGATATTACAATTATTGATGAATAAACTTGGAACAGAATTGGCAAGTCTAACTTGTGAAAAACCGACAAAATTGCAATAGGAATAGAGGATAAGAAATTCATTTTTGGGGGAGGGTAATCACGTGGAACATCGCCCTTGCGGGTAAAACTAAAAAGGTAGATGTTTACATATTAAAAAATATCCAACACGAATTTACGAGGCGTTGAATGGCCAAAATTAGTTGAACTATGGAATTGGTCGATTAATTCATTCTGTGGAAAAATTGATTGTTTGCCTGATAAAAAGATTACATCTAAAGAAATACTAAAAAAAATTACGAATATTTCCTCAGAGGAATTGGAAAAAATGTCCAAATTCAAAGGCATCTCTTAAATTGAAATAAAATGTGATACCAGTGTTTAAGCCTAAGAGAAAAATACCCTTGACTGCGTAGCTGTCTATAAACATCGAACTAGATAGGTTCGAAAACCACGAATTTATTTTAAAAAATAGATTACTCAAATGGGCCACTCCAGCGGTTTATATTGATTTTCCCAGCGTAGCTCAGATGTGGCTCAAGGCACCCAGTGAGGATCAAACACACTACTCAGTCGTAATTGTTCGAGCAAGACAAGCTTGCTAACCATTACACCGCCTCGAGGTGCCCACGCTAGCGGTTTTATTAGAGAGAAAATAATACAATTCATTTATGTGCAGATTTTTCAACTGGCGTGAATAACTGCCTTCAACCACATACATGTTACCTCCCAACTCCAGAGGATATATTTGCCAAATTAAATGTGGTAATTTTTTTTTTCAAATATTGACCTGTTCGAGGCATATCTTCAAATTGAAGTGGATGAGGAACGCTAGAAGTTTTTGACTATTAATACACATAAATGACTCTACAAGTTTAAAAGATTAACCTTTGCTTTTCACCCTTAATAGGGTACCCAGATTAGGAGAATGACCACATTTCAATCCAAAGTATATAAAATAAAATATATATAAAATATCAAACTGGCCAATTTAGTCTTGGTAGGGAATCTAGAAAAGGATAAGGGAAAAATTGAAACCTGAATGAATTAAAGAGCAGACTGTGCTTTTTAGCCTTGTTAAGGTAACCAGGATAGCAATAACTTTAAATTCTTGTATCTCATTCACTCGCACTTCCCGACAGTGCAACTCCCTTCCTCTTACTTGTTTCTCTGGTAACTATAATCTTTAAAAAAATTAAACGTATGTCAACCGATATCTTCTGATGTGTTGATCCTGATCCCCGTCCTTCTCTTTATCTTTTCATCAAACACCCCTCTTTACTCTTAAACTCTCTGTAATACTTTGCGTGTTAGGGGCACTCCCGCCTTGCTTGGGGGGTGAAATGCTTAAAAAAATAAAATAAAATAAAAACAAAAGGTCAGATTGAACTCTTGAGACGTAGTAGTCACCCAGTCTACGAAAAGAACATTTTTCAATTCAAAAACTGTCTCTTCCAGGCACATCCTTAGGTACATCCATATATCTATATAAACATGTGGTGACCAAAGGCATATGTGTGTTTGGGACTCATGATTGTTCTAAATTATATTGCAGTATTGTATAATGAGCCAAATAAAATGTCATGTTATTCCACATATAAGTAGAAGCAGACTCCGCACCTTTTATTGCAGTTCCGTAATTTTGAACGGAAATCTATCAAAGAACGTTTTTATTAAGTAGTTTTTTGTTTTTTTTTAACGTTAGTCAAACATTATGATTATTCGATGTCTAATTCCTTTGATAGAATCACGAATTTCTAATAAATGTTTTATAGTTTATTTTATTCTGCACATCGAAAGAATAAGACAAAAGTCCATTTTTCCTGATATTTACCCCAATTTTTTTTTTTTTTTTTTTTCATTCAACAGATTTGACCTTTTATTTTTCGGATGGAAACTCAATATTTTAATGTTGTTCTAATCGAGCGAATCTCCGGAGATAAATACTAAGTCAGACATTACTACAAGTGCAACCTCGAGTTGTCAAATCAAATTAACCAAACTTTATTCGCCGAACCGACAACGATTATTCTGAGATTGGATCAGTCAGATAAAAATAAATGAGGCAGATTCTCTGACGGATAAGCTCTCGGAAAATGGAATTGGTAAACTGTGTTCAAACACCGAGTAAGACAAGTTTCCACTAATGCCTTCTAAAAAGACATGAATGTGTCTTTCATCTCCTAGCTAAAGTAAAGCATTTAGCCTTCGTTGGCAACCAGTTTACGAGAGGTAAGACTCTGATTGCAAAATCTGGGTGAAGCACCCTTTAAAGGCGACCATCAACTCGTTATGGATGTTTGTTAATTTGCTTTCTACGGCTTATCAACCCCGTTTGCAATTTATTTAAAGCCAGAATATATCTTTAGTTTTTTTTTTTTTTTTTAGTATAGAATGGTTTAGTTACAGAGGTCTTAATAATAAGCTGGGGGAGAAGATATTTCAATGTGGATGTTAATGGATGGACCAATTCTATATTACAATCAATACATCAACTGATCCCTCACTTTGTGTCCAGAATAGTTTCTATACATTTCTATTCCAGAGAATGTAAATAAATCTAAAAGACATGCCTGTGTAGCTAATCATTATTTTATTGATTGATTGATTCGTTTTCTATGGCTTATCAACAGACAAGAAATTATAATGTGGATATAAAATGGGGGATCACTTCTTTATAACAATCAATACATACACTGAGCCCTCACTTTGTGGCTACAGTAGTTCCTATACATTTATATTCCAGAGAATGTAAATAAATCTGACATGCCTGTGTAGCTAATCAGTATTTGATTAATTAATTCATTCATTTTCTACTGCTTATCAACAAAGAAGAAAATATAAGGCGGATATAAAATGGGGGGACCAATTCTATATTACAATCAATACATAAAGTGAACCCTCACATTTTGGCCAGAGTAGTTTCTATACATTTCTATTCCAAAGAATGTAAATAAATCTAAAAGACATGCCTGTGTAGCTAATCCGTATTTCATTGATTGATTGATTAGTTTTCTATGGCTTATCAAGAAACAAGAAATTATAATGTGGATATAAACTGGGGGATCAATTCTATATTACACTCAATGCATAAACTTAGCCCTCAATTTGTGACCACTGTAGTTTCTATACATTTCTATTCCAGAGATTGTAAATAAATCTAAAAGACATGCCTGTGTAGCTAATCAGTATTTCATTAATTGATTGATTCGCTTCCTACGGCTTATCAACAAACAAGAAATTATAATGTAGATATAAATTCGGGGACCAATTCTATATTACAATCAATATATAAACTGATCCCTTACTTTGTGGACAGGATAGTTTCTATAAATTCTCAGCGAGTGAAAATAAATTTAAGATATGCTTGTGTAGCTAATCAGTATTTCATTGATTGATTGATCGATTGATTGATCGATTGATTGATTTGTTTTCTACGACTAATCAAACCATGGCAAATTATTTAAAACCATTTAAGCATTATTATTAGTATTTTATTATTATTTAAGTATCATTGAAAACTATTTAAGAATTTTAAAATAGTAAGATTTTTTTTCTTTTCAAATCATAATTGCTTATTAATACATAATTGGTGGGGGAGGGAGAAGTGGCGGATTCATGCCTTTCCCAAGGGTATTTGGGCGTGAGCGAATATAACGAACCTAACCGGAATTGGAACTCGCCTCTACGATTAACAGTTTGGAGTCATTATCCATTACACCAGCCACACTTCCAAGCTTACAGCATCTGTTATTCTCAAGCACTCACCCATCTAGTTACTGATCAGACTCAGTGTTGCTTAACTTCGGTGATCGTATTAGAATCGGTTTTTCAACGTGATATGGCCGTGAAAATACGTATTGGTCACCCCACTGTAACAGCCCAAAGTATATCTCCAGCCTAGAGTCTGTCCGGCGTTATCAGATATACAATCATTTATCTTCATTCAAACACGTTTTATTGAATAATATAGACATATTATGTCTATTTATTTTTATAATAATCCTTTCTAGTTACTCTAATCAGGTTCCTGATGTTAAAATGAAATTCAGCAAAGAAGGCTTCATAGTGTTTTTACTCCCCCAGGTACTTTCAATATCTTACGCTCAGCAGTGAATTTAAAAAAGAACACGCGTGAATGGTCTCTGTTATAATTATTTGAAAATATTAAATATATCCTACAAAGGATACATTCAATATTTTCATATATATATATATATATATATATATATATATATATATATATATAATAAAAGTCTTAAACACTAATATTCCATGGTCATAATTTATTCCATTGGAAACGTAAATTGAATTGGATCGTATTTACGATTCCAATGAAAAAAATAATGACCATGGAATATTAGTGTTTAAGCCTTTTTATTATATCCTTAATCTGTCCTGAACATTGAGTTCTACCTGGATTCTATCCTCTCGAATTTTTTATTAAAAAATATACATATATGTGTATGCACCTATGTATAAATATCTATATATTTTGCATATGTATGTGTATATTTACCGCTAATATTATCAATCTATATATATATATATATATATATATATATATATATATATATATATATATATATATATTTGTAAACAAGCGTCCAAATAAAAGGGAGCTAACCAGAAATTGATAGAAATACAAAGCGACATTAAATCTTTGTTAAATGCATTTCACCACGTTGCTACTACACTCGTAATAAATTTTGTTGAGCGTTAGTTGCTTGCTTTTGATATATAGGGCCTCCAGAATTTGTAGCTTTTCGTTTATTATTTTGGTGGTCTAGTATATTGGTGTAGTCAACAATTATTTTCCTCTATTGTGACGATGAATAGGAATGTTGTTTTAGATGTTGTGTTGTGGTAAACCCTCCTACAGTAGAATGAACTCTTCCTCCTCTTATAAATACTAACTGCGAGTCTTTCTAACGGACAGTCGGGTGAGCAGCCGAGACGCATTGTTAACCTACCCTTCGGACGTACACTTCTAACTGCTTTTTACTAACACTCTTGCTTTGTATATATCCTGTATTTCAATACACTTGTTCAACCTACCTTCGTCTTCCATGTCTTTCTTTCTGGCCCCTAAACAGGCCACAACAGTATGATAGAACTTGTGACCGACAAATGAAGTGTAAGTCGTCTTGATAATGTTGTGGTCGTCATACCAACATATTTAATTACATAGAAAAATACTAAGACTAAATCGATAGCGGAACAGGCCTTAGGAAAAATATCAGAAAGACAATGTTTATTAAGAGCTAAAAGGGACAGGACGTTGTGGAGAGTCATAATCGCCAACTTCCTGAGGGGTCACGGTACATAAAAAAGAAAACTGAACCTATTACATGGCATGATACCCAAATTAAAAATAGATATAAATTAACCTAATGTGTATAGTTTAGATTCGTTAACACTTCGAGTTATCAAGTAGGCTAACCCAATAATACCCAAGCGTTATTCTAGACTAGGATAAACGAGTCCCTGGGATATTTTGGGAGGGACTTACTCTGGGGCGTTCTATCTATCTGTCTCTTGAAAAGGAACTAAATCCAGACAGAGAGTAGCAAGAGAAAAAACTGAGAAAGTGCTGAGCTTTTTTCTGTTCCAATTCAAGATCAAATATTGTCTTCATATCAGACTTCTCTAGTCTTTCACAGCGATAAAGATTTTACTATAGAAATCCGTTGACAACCAGGAAGAAAGGGATTGTCAGTGTTCAGGAATTAATGAAAACATTACTGAGAGAATAGGGCAGTTATATGCTTAATGGAAATGCATTGCTAATGATTTTACTAATTGCAAATCAGATAGGAAGGAATGGTCAGTGGCCAGGAATTAATGCAAGCGTTAATGATAGAATAGGTATATTATATCTTCTTCTTTTCTGTGCCGTGTCCTTTCAGGACGTAAACGATCACGGCTCTCCACTTCCCCCTATCTCTTGTAGCTCTTAATAAGTTTTGTGCCTTTGCTAATTTCCCGAGGCCATGCTCTGTCATGCACTTGCTTAAGCCCGCCAGGTATGTCATGCTTTGTTTTCCCTTGTCTCTCTTTCCCTCTATTCGATCTGTGAGTATCAGATTCTCTAGACCCTCCTTTCTCATTACGTGTCCCAGAAACTTCAGCTGCCTCTTCCTGATGTTAAGTATAAGACTCCCCATTGTTTGCATCCTCCACAAGGCCTCATCGTTGCTCACACGCTCGGTCCATGATATCCTCAGCATCCTTCTGTGGAACCACATCTCCGTCGCCTCAAGTCTCTTCTTCCTCTTTGAGGAGACTATCCAACATTCGCTGTCGTAAAGAAGGACATATGTCACGTAACAGCTCAGTATTCTTTTCTTTGTTACCAAAGAAATCCTCCTGTCTCGCAGTACCCTGCTCAGCTTTTGGAATATGTTCTTGGCCATCCCAATACGTCTACGGATCTCAGTGTCACACTTAACGTCCTCTGTCAGAAGGCTTCCAGATATTTAAACTTTCGAGTCTGCTTGATTTTAGTGTTCCCGACATGCAAATCGCATTTCGGGTTCATACTTTTTACTGATGACAATGCATCCTGTCTTGTTGTAGTTTATGCTTAGTCCTTTCTTCTCACTCTCCTTCGCTACTTTCTGTAGGAGGTTTTGTCATTTCTTTTCCGTGTCTGCTATCAGTACTGTGTCATCTGCCTATCTTATGTTGTTAAGATTGTGGCCGCCAATAGCAAATCCCAGTAGGGTTTCCAAATTTGCAAACATATTGCAAATGCTTTTACTACAAATATGAATTGCAAATCAGGAGGAAAGGGATTGTCAAAGGTCAGAAATTAATGCCAACATTACTGATAGAATAGGGTTATGATATATAGAATGAAAAATCATTGCTAATGATTTTAGTATAGGAATGCCTTGAAAATGAGGAAGAAAGGTATTGTCAGTGGTCAGGAATGAATGCAAGCATTACTGTTAGAATAGGGCTATTATATGTATAATGGAAATACATTGCTATTTATGTTACTATAGGAATGCATAGCAAATGAGGAAGAAAGGGATTGTCAGTGGTCAGGAATGAATGGAAGCATTACTGTTAGAATAGGGCTATTATATTTATAATGGAAATGCATTGCTAATGATTTTACTATAGGAATGCATTGCAAATGAGAAAGGAAAGGATTGTCAGTGGTCAGGAATGAATGCAAGCATTACTGATAAAATAGGTCTATTATATACTGAATGTAAATTAATTGCTAATTAGTTTTGATATATAAATGCACTGTAAATGAGGAAGAAAGGGATTGTCAGTGGTCAGGAATGAATGCCAGCATTAGTGATAGAATAGAGCTATTATCTGTATAATGGAAATGCATCTACGATAGGAACTCATTCCAAGTAAGAAAGAAAGGTGTTTCTAGTGGCCAGGAATTAATACAAGCGTTATTGAAAGAATAGGGATATTATATGTTGAAGAAATATCATCAGCGCTTTTGTTTCAATCCGAGTGTTTTTGTCAGGTATTTCATGTCTATGGCATCCGCTTTTTATCATTTTAATTTCTAGCTCGCTTCAAAGTACGTTTTGCTGTTAACTACGGAACTTTCGGAAGAATATTTGAGCAACACAAACAACAAAATCCATCGCCCGACTTTGTTTATCTCGGCTGCGGGCGGGAAAATGAAAGCAAGCCAAATTTGCATTTATTAAACAAATATTCATGTTAAAGAAACCCATATTTATTTGAAACTTACGGAAGCGATTCATTGTTTGTTTCTTTTTTTGGCAGAGAGTCGACTTAATTTCGATCACTGAAATTAATTTATATTTCGTTTCGTTTCTTAATTCCGTTTCATATATTTCTCTTTTTGTCAACACTTCCTCTGGGAGATTTGTTGTCAGCCATTGTCGTTCCTCTTTGGAATACGCAAAAAATAACAACTTGCAGCTATTCTTCACTAATTTCACTTATTTAGCTGAAAATATTTCTATCTTCGCGTTCAAATTCCTCAGAGCTGTTATCGCAACGTTTTTGTTTAAACCTGAAATTAATTTTAACGTTCCATCTATTCTACACATTCTAAACATTGCATAAGGCATAGCATTATATATATATATATATATATATATATATATATATATATATATATATATATATATATATATATATATATATATATATATATATATATATATATATATATATATATATATATATATATATATATATATATATATATATATATATATATATATATATATATATATAAATAATGCTATGCCTTATGCAATGTTTAGAATGTATAGTATAGATAGAACGTTAAAATTAATATATATATATGCATATTAAAAGGAGAGGCACGGTGGTGTAATGGATAGCGGTTCAGATTGAGGAAGCGGAGCCGAGTTCGAATTACAGTTGGATCCATTAATATTCACTTACGTGCAAATACACTTGGGAAAGGAATTAATCCTTTTCTTCTCCACCCAGCTATGGGTAAATAGCAGGATAGACTGGTTGTCAACCGGTCTAGGAAAAGGAAATCTCTGAATTCAAAACCGGCCTGGAGAGGGTAGGACACCGTCAGGCTGACTTGCACTGGAAAACAACATTTCTACACATGGTGTCCTACGACACTACGGATCACGGGATATATATATATATATATATATATATATATATATATATCGAGGGAGATGCTTGTTTTTGTAGAATGTATAATAGTATCCGTGACAAAACAGGAAATGGTAAGACAAAATGGGAAAAAAATCATAAACGACGCCTTTTTCGCCGATGTGTGTTGGATGCGGTCTCTACAGATCGGAATGAAAACCCAAACTAATTTACTTTATTTGCCTCACTTATTCCCATTTCAACCTGAAGAAGCTGACCCCAACAGAGTTAAAACGTTTTACGACTTTTGTACCGTATATACGAACACGAACACACACACACACACATATATATATATATATATATCGAAATAAAAAGTATAAAATTTAATATTACAAGACATATTAAAAAGTATTAAATAATAAAAAAAAAAAAAAAAAAACTCAACAACAAGGGGGAGAAGCAATTGGTTTCGCCCTGCTCGTCAGGCTTCCACGGGAGATTGAAAATTAAAACAGAGAAATGTACAGTAAGAATGGGTGGAAAAAAAAACACACACACACACACATATATATATATATATATATATATATATATATATATATATATATATATATTCGTATATATACGAACACCTTTTAAATAGCAGAGACTGTGCCGCCAAATTTAGTGTCGACTGGTTCACCGTGCTGGCCCGGTCACACTTTGTATTTCATCTGAAGGTTCTGGAGGCACTTTACATCGGGTCCCGCAAGCCTTCTTTGTGCAAACAACGTAAGTGTTCGCTGGGACTCGCTGTCATCTGCCTCTAGTTCCTTCTTGCATAGCAGGGGCTATTGTGGAGAAAATCAGATCAGCGAAAGACTTATTTCATTTGTGCTTTCTTAAGTGCGATATTGCCCCAGCCTTGCTGCGGGTGACAAGCCACACTAATAGATGAAATTTGTTAAAGCAGGATTTTGATGTCGTCTCTGCTTCAGAGCTTGACGAAGCTGATCACTGTGCTTCAGTCTACTGCCTTCAAAACCCTTTAACTTAATGAAACATGTCTTATGTCACTCCTTTCGGTTTGATGCTTGGGCTTCCCAGGTTTTCAGATCAAAGTTGAGACGTTTCAAGTTGTCTTTCAATTTGTCTTTGTAGCGTATGAGTTGACCTCGAATTGAACGCTTGGAATTTGGTTGTTGTCCATGCAGCACCTTTTTTTTGAAGCCTATGCTTTTCCATTCTCACAATATGACCAACTCACCTAAGTTGTATCTTTGCTAGCATGGTTCCAATGCCTGTGATATATATATATATATATATATATATATATATATATATATATATATATATATATATATATATATACAAATCAGTCGCCTACCTGGAAAGAAAATTATTTTTTTCCGTTTTTCTCACTTAGTTCAGTATTAACATCATAATATCAGTTGTTGGTAAAAAAATTTATCAACTATTCATTCTGCAGACGAATATATTTCTAAATAAGTGTCGTCTGAAAGAAGCCTTTAAATTTTAAACATCGTGACTTTTTTTATCTTTTTTTATCTTGTATTTATATATATATATATATATATATATATATATATATATATATATATAAAGTTTTCGTTAGAATCTCAGTGTCTCTTTCATTGAACGAAAGTGATAAAAGAGTGAGGATGCTAAGTAAGATGTGCCAAATCGAAGGACAATCCTACGCACACTCAACGTAATTCACAAGCACATACCAAGTCTCAATATAAACTCGAAAAACGCGGGCTGCTAGATCAGTTCTCACTACCCTCTCGCCAGATCCAATTCTTCTACCATCAAAGAAATAATAAGGACGACTGTCCATCACAAAAAGGTGACAGAACTGGCGCTGTCTTTCTCTCTATATATTCCAAAGTAGCTGTGAGCTCCGAAATCTGTCGCAGGAGAAGGAAACAATTTGCTTTCAGAAAAAAAGACGATAAACCTTCCAGAACAAGGTTCGCTCTGCGCCCATTCACTTTGAATGGAAAAAATAGCATTCTGATTGGTTTTCTTTGATTTTTTTTGTTTTACGGCATATCAACCTCAATGGGTTATATAATGTCGATAAAATTTTTATTGCTGTTAATATTTCTTTTTCAGAAATCTATTGCTGGTAACATATTTTTCTTCAAAAATCTATTTCTGGTAATTTTTTTTTTTAAATGTATAGCTAGTAATATTTTTATTATTTTTTTTTTCAAAAATATATAGTTGGTAATTTTTTTTAACATTTTACTGTTAATAATTTTTTCCTTGAATAATTTATTGCTGGAAAATTTTTTTACGGAGTATTTCTTGTATTCATACCTATTTTTACACTACCATATTATTTTGAAGTTTGTGTGTTAACTATTTGCCCATATATGGAACCACAACAGGTGCTACAACCCCGGTCTTGGTAGACCAGGGAACATCAGCAATTAAGTGGTGGTTCCACACTCCTCAAAAGCTCCTGATCAGATGCGTTTCTGTTGGATGTAGTTTATCGTCTTATACAGCAAGGGGGTGTAGTTTATCGTCTTATCCAGCAAGCGGATGTAGTTTATCGTCATACACAGGATGTAGTTTATCGTCTTATCCAGCAAGCAGATGTAGTTTATCGTCAGGCATAGGATGTAGTTTATCGTCTTATCCAGCAAGCAGATTTAGTTTATCGTCTTATCCAGCAAGCGGATGTAGTTTATCGTCATACACAGGATGTAGTTTATTGTCTTATCCAGGACGGCAGCATTCTGAAGCAAATTCAACGAGAGAAAGTGATGACATCCATCCTCACCGTGTGACAGAACAGTAAATACTCCCAATTCATATACTTAATATCTTAGTAGTTTTATAAGAAAATAATCTGACTGGTATTATGAGATTGCGTTTGTAAACAACAAGAACAAGAAGATTATCAGTTTTGTTATTAGAACCCCTTCCAATATAGTCCTGTCATCGTTATTAACGTGTTCGAAATACTGACGGACATTTGAAAGTTTCAACACATTCAGCCATCAAATATAGTAAAATACCTACAAGTTTAGTAACATTGTAACTTGTTTTGGCTCGACTATGATGGCCGCCTCAGTAGGCCTAACGTCGATATAAATACAGTAAGGCTTAATAGCTTCATCTACCAACAAATACATCGATTTATTTAGCTTTAATAGCAATAGCTTAATCTATAGCAAGGAAATTTCGTTCTCTGCGTCATGCCAGAAAGTTTTTTCTCGTCTGAGTCCATCCTTCAGATCTATAAATCAACCATCCGTCCTTGCATGGAATATTGCTGTCATATATGGTCTGGTGGTCACGCTGCACGTCTCGAGGTCTTCGACAAAATCCAGAGACGGATATGCAATGTTATAGGTCTTGATCTGGCACCTAGCCTACAATCGCTTTCTCACAGACGTGCCGTGGCCTCCCTCTGTCTCTTCTACAAGTATGTTCACGACAACTGTTCCGAAGACTTGGTTTCTCTGGTTCCCAGATTGCATGAATTTAATCGAACTGCTAGATTGGCATCTCGGTCCCACCGTTTTACTCTAAAAACAGTCAAATGTAACCGTCTCTTCTACACAAACAGTTTCTTCTCTCGCACGTCCCGACTGTGGAACTCCCTTCCTCTTGCTTGCTTCCCTGATAACTATAATCTTCAAATATTCAAGTGTAATGTCAATCGACATCTTCTAATACCTTGATCTTGTTCCCCTTCCTTCTCTTTATCCTCCCCAAACACGCCTCCTTACTCTTGTTTGCCACCCTCTGTAAACCCTTGCGCGGTAGTGGCATTCTCGCCTTGCTTGGGGTGAATTGCTAAAAAAATATGAGGGGCATTAATAAAGAGAGAAAGAGAAATTATGGCGAAGAAAACAATGGCAACTTTTCAGCAACATCAAAACTAAAAAAAAAAAGAAAGAAAATCTGTTATTGTCGCAGAAAATGGATCTAGCGAACTGAGTTTAATTCTCTTCCATCCCTATTGCATACACTTTGCAATAATGGCCTTGAGAAAGGCATGAATCCATATCTACTTAGACTAGCAATAGGTTTTGATAGTAAAGTAGACTGGTCCCTATAGCCTTGGCTGGTAACCCATACAACATAAAGACACCCCTGAATTCAAAAAACTAGAATTCAAAACATTTGGGAAGGCAAGTGAAAACCACTATTCTTCTCAAAAAACCATCACATTTCAGAAAATAAAGGAATCTATGTGGAGGCATGTACACATGCGGCCTGACTTGATTGATTTGATTGATTTTTGGTTTTGTTTTTTTGGTTTTTTTACTAGTAATATTAATTAGTAAAACTTGTATCACTAAATCAAATCAAATTATTTTCTGGCTTTAAATAACTTGCACAAGGGTTGATAAACCGTAGAAAACAAATCAATCAATCTTTCTTTTGTCTTTCTTTATTTTTTTTTCATTCGTTTTCTCACTGAAACCAAGTCGCGTCTGTAAACAGTATTTTCCGTTTTTCAACGCGATTAAAAAAGAATAGTCTCTTATTTATGAGGTAGTAGAAGGAGACATTAACCACATCTTTCTTTCTTTCTTTCTTTCATTTCTTTTCTTTCTTTATTTATTTCTTTCTTTTATTTATTTATTTATTTATTTCTCACTTTCTTTCTTTCTTTCTATCTTTCATTTCTTTCTTTATTTCTTTCTTTCTTTCTTTTATTTATTTATTTATTTCCCTATTTCTTTCTTTCTTTCATTTCTTTCTTTCTTTCTTTTATTTATTTATTTCCCTCTTTCTTTCTTTCTTTCTTTTATTTCTTTCTTTCTTTCTTTCTTTCATTTCTTTCTTTCTTTCTTTCTTTTATTTATTTATTTCCCTCTTTCTTTCTTTCTTTCTTTCTTTTATTTCTTTCTTTATTTCTTTCTTTCTTTCTTTCTTTCATTTCTTTCTTTATTTATTTCTTTCTTTCTTTCTTTTATTTATTTATTTTATTTATTTATTTATTTTATTTATTTATTTCTCTCTTTCTTTCTTTCTTTCTTTCTTCATTTCTTTCTTTTTTATTACTTTCATTTATTTGTTTATGTATTTATTTCATTTCTTTCTTTTTTCTTTCTTTCTTTCTTTCATTTCTTTCTTTCTTTCATTTCTTTCTTTATTTCTTTATTTCTTTCTTTATTTAATTAATTTATTCATTATTTCATCTTCTCACTGAAAACAAGTGGCATGTCTGAAATTTTTTTCCGTTTAAACAAGCGATGAAAATGGAATAGTGTATTATTTATTGGAAGGAGACGTTAACCATTTCTATCCTTCCTTGTATCTTTCTTTTTCTCCCTTAAACCAAACGGCTTCATTCATAAGTCTTTCTGGATTTTATCTTGATCAAAACGGAACAGTCCAATATTTATGTGATATTGGCAGGCCATAACGTATGCGATAACTCAGGATGAGTATTTTTTTTATATTTATTATTTTGATATTATATTTAATATTTAAATAATATATTATTTAATATTATTACTATGGGTTTCGCTTTTAAATGTGGTATATCTTTATTTTGCATCCTTGTCAGGATATTTTCACAGGCAAGATATCAGATTTAGTTTGCTGACCCAATGCATTTAACCCCGACCTTTAAGGTGTCCATATAGTGATAAAAGTATTAAAAGTATAGTTAAATCATTACGTTTTGTTTTTTTAATGGTTTACTGGTTTAGTTTCAAAAGTACTTATTTAGAAAGCATAAAGACCATTTCTGCATTCTTGTCAGAAGAAAACTAATACGTACTTTGTAGATAACGTCAGCGTTATCGCATACGGATTTTTTCTTTCTTTTTACGTTTCCTTTCTTAGGACAATGGTAAATCGAATTTTTTTTTATGTTTTCTTTCATAACTCTTCCTAGTTGATTGTATATCTAGACTTACGATTTCATTATCTTCCAAGCAGCAAGATCGTTTTGATGAAATACTTTTTTTTTCTTCTACTCCATTACATTCTTTTAGTTTTTTTTTCAAAGCAAAGAGTTACGCACTTCTTTATTCAATTCTTGTCATGTGTAAATTTCAGTTAAACTTGTCTTTTTCTTCTTTGTCCTTTTTATCGGTTTGAAACATCATCCGGTGAACAGGAAGTGGATTCATGTCGACGGAAGCGAAACGCACACGCCATATTTTATCTTTAACGTTCAGTGTCGTTCGCTTTTAAGGATTTTGACGTTTTATCTTCAGTTATTTTCTCTTTTTTTTTTAAATTTTCGGTGACGAAAACGATTGGCTGTTAAGGTTGTTTGTTTTCGCTTTATTCGTTCGTAGAATTCCAGTTCTGCATCTTTACGGTGATTCCTCTCATTTTATTTCTTTTTCTACCTTACACTTCCGATTTCATTATTCGAAAACGAACCATACATTTAGATTAAACGCAACACGGACTATGCACCTCTGAACAGCAACAACACACACGCAACCACATGTTTGCCGTGGAATGGAGAACATTAGGTTTTTCAGGGCATTACGACTTAAGTCAGTTATTCTCAGGATGGCTTTCGATGTGCTTTAAGAGTATTTTGCTGATTTAAAAACCAATGAACATAACCGATTTTATATTGTTCACAAACATTAGGCACCATCGAAATTTGGTATATAAAACATTCGGACAATTTCTACATAATTCATGTCCAGAAAAGAAAAAACTTACATTATTTACATTATTCGGGCAGTTACCCTCATCTTCATTGACATATTCACAACGTTTCGGCTGTTGTACGCTCAGCACTTCCTCAGGTGAACCAAAACTTGGAGAGTTGGGTTAAGAGGAAAGAACTGAGCCATGGCAGGTGGAACAAGAATAATCTACCCTTGTGGACGAAATAAAGGTTCAATTCGAAATTGCAATCACCTGAAGAAGGTCGGAGCGTACAACAGCCGAAACCTTGTGAATATGGCAATGAAGATGAGGATATCAGTCCGAATAATGAACATAATGAAAACATTACAAGTCATCATGATGCATCATCTCAGAAATAAAGACAAATAGAGAAATATTAAAAAACACAAGAAAAATTAAATAAGAAATTAATATATATATATATATATATATATATATATATATATATATATATATATATATATATATATATCGTGCCAAATTATTATCGAAATAACTTTTTTTCTAATATTTCTAAAACTCTCCAATCAATTCACACAAAATTGGTAACACTGACCTGCGCAATCACTGAAATTTTCGTACTGATCTGCGCTATGTAAACAAACTGGCGCCATATTTGTTATTTTGTGTGAATTGATTGGACGGTTTTTGAAATATTAGAAAAAAAAGTTATCTTGATAATAATTATTATTAACACTCTGCCTTGAGTGGCTCTTGGATATTGTCTTGAGTGACAAATGGTAAAATAAAATGAAAGAAACACCAGAAGACATAGTTGTAAACACAAATCAATTATTTTGTATTATAAATCAAGTTCTTTCTATTTTTGTTAACTCTTTCAAGCAAATTTATATTTTATTTTTTACATTGTACTCCCGAATATTGTTAAATTCATTTTCTAGGAGAACCTTTCGTGTATATTGATGTAATTGTCTTTGATTAATTCTGACGTTCCAAAGTTTCCTGGAACCAGTTTCAAAACATTTTAAATAATTTTATTGTTTTATACAAACTTCAATACACTATCACTATGGAGGAAGATACTTTATTTATATGTATACGTATTGTGGATATACCTGGAACTGTGTTACTTGTAACTACCCACATGCAATTTTAAAAATCCTACTGATTCTTAACGATATTCAATGGTATTTTTTCTCAATTTTTTATCCAATCGCAGTTTGTTTCTTCCATTTTTACTGTCGTAAAATTTCCCAGTCGTTATCTTTCTTTTTCCGCTTTGTCGACTTAAACAAAATGTCTCTTTACGATTTGCGACAATCTTTGTCAATTTATGCAATCTATCAGTTCTCACTTCAACCCCGCTGGCCTATTATTTTTATTATCTATTGTTTGTGTCATATTCCCACGTATTCAAACAGACACAAATTTATATAAATATATCCACAAGAAACGATATATATAAATAACACACACACACACACACACATATATCTATATATATATATATATATATATCAGATGATGATATATATTTTTATATACTACGAACAGTATTGGGGAAATAGTATAACAAAGTGGAAAAAATAATTGTGACGCGTAATATATGTCTGGGAGGAATGGGTGGTAATGGGTAGTGGCTCTGTTTAAGGAATCGGAAAGCTGGGTTCGAGTTCAAGCCGAATCCATTACATTCACTTATGTGATAATACCCATGGGAAAGGTATGACTCTTCTTCTTCTTCTCCCACAGCTATGGGTAAATATATATATAGCCAAAAACCTGTGATTAGCAAGTTCGAATTACTGTTTTCTTCGAGCTTGCTAACCAGACGCTTCCTCTGTTGCTAAATAGTATAGCACGTCAGGCTAAACGACGGTTCCATGTAGGATAAAGGTTCGAGTCTATATGAAATTTCTCGAACATTCAGGCCGGTAAATATTGTTAATACTGTTTATCATAAACAGAGATTTACTTAAATTTTTATATCTATAAAATGAACAATCTATATATATATATATATATATATATATATATATATATATATATATATATATATATATATATATATGAACTTTATTTCAATTCTTCATGAGATTCTGATCCTTAGCTTTGATTAAGTAATATTTTCGTTCATGATCGATTTCATCAATATACTTCTGTTAAGCTTGGAGAATAATTATACATTCTCATTACACAAAGTAGAGTCCAATAGTGTTATAAAAACTGGAGAATTCCAGTAAGATATATTTAATCATTTCTAAGTTACAACCGTTCAGATTTTAATCTAACAAATTGACAATTTTGCCGTTACACAATTTGGACAATTTTGCTTTTACACCCGGTATATATTATATGTATATATATATATATATGTGTGTGTGTGTGTGTGTGTGTGTGTGTGTATTTAGATTAAAAGTTTTGTGTCAGTAAGTTGATTTTGTTGAACATATAACATCTAAAAATACTATTTAACATTTCAATTACAGACCAGCTGATAATTAGTGAGAATCTGATCCAAAAATTATTTTTATGTTATTTAAACTGAAAGTTTTGTGTCAGTAAGTTGATTTTGTTGAACACACACGCACACACACACACACACACACACACACACACACACACACACACACACACACACACACACACACACACACAGACAGATAGATAGATAGATAGATAGATAGATAGATAGATAGATAGACAAACAAGTTTCTTGTGGTACAGAACTTAATATTAGCAAGGAATACGCGTAATTGAAAAGGCATACCAATGTAAATTTAATAGCTAAAAACAATTGGTTTTCGTCCAAGTCTTATCAAGTTTAATTCTGGGACATACAAGAATAGACCTGTAAATTAATTAAAGATGAACAAGGATGGGTAAGAAAAAAACAAGGAAATTAGAGACCGATAATATTCAGAGCCAGCAAACAATCCCTCTGTTTACAGAGGGAAGGCCTTCGGGATCTGCTATATAAGGACTCCAGGCCCTTGAGATGATATAAAGAGTGGGACCTTGATAGAATAGAAAAGCAGTCCACACTAAATATATATACATATATATTAAAGGTATTTTTAAAATCATTTCACCGAAATAAAGGCAACAATGCTACGCAGAATGATAATGGCGAGGATTGAGAAAAGATGAACAAAGAACAGGCTTCAAGAAGACAGAAGATGACGATTGATGTTACATTTAGATTTTTGAAGATTGTAGTTAGCAGGGAAGCAAGAAATCGGAAAGGAGCTACACAGATGAGAAGTGTGTTCATCGAAACTGAGTCCAAGTGGCGGTTTCGTTAGCTATTTCAACAGTAAGACGGTGAAACTTAGATGCCAATCTAGTAGTCCGCTCAATTTCATGTAGTCTGGGCACCAAATCTCATCAGAACTGTTGCCATGAAAATATTTGTATAAAAGACAATGGGAACTCGCGAACTCTAATTAGAATTGATTATAATACACACCCATCTTTGGATTTTGTCAAGAATTTTGTCTTGATTAATTTTACTGAAAGATTTTGTCAGTAGGGATGTCTTTCTCCGGAAGGGATTA